CATCATTACCACACTCTTCTTCATACAATTGTATTATTGGAGGATACAAAATTCCGCAAGACACAAAAGTATTAATGAATGCTTGGGTTATTATAGTGACTCTGAAACATGGAGTGAAGCAACGATTTTCAAACCCGAGAGGTTTGAAAAAGAAGGAGAATTGGAGAAGGTAGTCGCATTTTGAATGGAACCAAGGGCTTGTCCTGGAGAAGACTTGGCTCTTAGAGGAAATAGTATGACTTTAGCATTATTGGTTCAATGCTTTGATTGGAAACTTACAAGTGAAGATGACAAGATTGATATGTCATAAAGAGATAGAATTCCTTTGGCAAAGTTAAAAGTTAGTACAATTGAAGGCCAGGTGTAAACTCGTCATGTCATCAACAAGGTTTTCAAATAGTACTCATAGTAATTATAGTATCATTTGTATTTTTACTAAATCCAGAAAGTACACTATTTGTTCAAATAAGTGAAATATCTATAAGGATATCATGTGAGTATCACATGTGAATCTTTGTATAACTTTTTGTAACTGAATTTTCTCAAATAAAAGTCATATGATTTTTAGTAGCTACTTGTATTTTGTAATACGTACGTCAGAACTTTTGTTTGTTTCATAACATTGATAATATAATTAATTGGAATGTGATAAGAATAGGAAAATGTAGAGTTAAATGTAATGTGTATCGAAATCTTTTTTAAATTCACACATTGCATCTCTTCTCTTTTCCAGAGGTACACCATTCGCATCTCCTTCCCTAAACGATGGCTCCATGTTCATTTTCCTTCTTCTTTTAGCAATTTTAACAGTATTAGTCTTCTACTATACAATCCAATACTATTTTTACTTTTTCTTTCTTCTCCAATGTCTATATCTTACAACCGCGATGTGAAAGTCTGATTGTTCATTATGCAATGTTTATGTTTCTTGCATGCTAGCAGATCTACTCAATGGCCCGTCCAGTTGAAAGTGTGGGAGATATAAATGATTCTAAAGATTTATGGAAAATTGTTTTTCGGATAAAAGATTTGTGGTCTGTGAAAAACATAGCAAAGAAAGAATATTTAGAAATGGTTATTTTTTATTCTAAGGTATTCTTCTGTTACGTTTTAAGATGAATAATTTCATGCTATAACAATCATTATACATTTGCAAAACTGATGTATTGGTTTTTCTTTGTTCTGTGGTTTCTGTTATTTTTAATGTGACAATATTCAAGTCATTATACCAACTCATTTGGTAGACAAGTTTAAGTATGCACTAAACATTTGAGACACATACATAATGCAAAACTTCAAGGTTAGACAAAATGATTTTTCATTCAAGGCAACATCTCAAAACTCACAATATTTAGATATTGATAAATTATATGGAAGGCACAGATTACAAGTGTTTCCGAGATTGCAAATCTTCAATATGTGAGTTTGGTTTTTGTTATTGTAATGAAGGAGCCAAAACTATATTATGCAATTCATATTTATCCTGTGTGATACATAAACGTATTTTTATAATATATTTTTAATCATTATACGTAGGAAACAACGTGCGTTGTTGTTGCTGATTACGATCCTTCTGGTGCAACATCGGTCCTAACTCCTTCAAAAAGACCTGCAACTCAATCTGTAGATGATATGGATAATCTTCAACTGTCCTCAACCAAGATCATCAAAGAAGTCAAAAAGGAAAAATGATTGTTCATCTGTCATTTTTTTTATTCAGTTGTTATTTTAGTTGTTTTATGTGTTTTGGATGTTTGAAAGGTCTTTTGGAGTATGACTTAGGTTTATAATTTAAAGTAAGATACCTGACGTTTAGCCTATTGTTTTGGATAATATATTTACAGATGCAATTGGGTTTCCTAATTTTTCGTTACGTATTTTGCAAATGCTATTGATATGATATGTGTATTGTCCATGATTAGTCTTACGATTTATACATAAGTTTGCCTTATAATCCTTGTACCTTAAGAATATTTATAGGCATTTTTTTGACTGTAAATGGTATCAAAAATCCTCCATTTCCTTCATAAACAATATACCTTTAGAATAATTAGACATTTTTTTGAGAGTAAATGGTATCACAATTCTAAATTGGAAATGGTATCACAATTCTAAATTGGAAATGGTATCATAATTATAGGCATTTTCATGTTTGGTGAATGTTTTCATAGAAGTCCAATTATCAATGAAGTTCACTTCTTGATATAAATCCCTACTTATGACTGTTACATAAAGTTACATATCCTGACGTGTAGAGCGTCTGGCAACCCTCACATATAGCATCTGTGGACGGGAACGGTAGTGAATACGCATGAGATCACCAACCTTGAATTCTTTCCAGGCAGCATACTCATACCAACCAGATGCAAGGTATTTCTCCATGTTAGGTTTGTTCTCCCTGTCTGGCCTATTAGCTTTCAATATAGTCCCAAAATGTCATAGATTCCAAGTCCACCAATATTGGTTCAATCTGATCCTCGCGTAGTCCTTTCCTAAAAATTTATGCAGGAAAATGCTGTAAAATTGCAAGGTTTTTTCAGTTTATATATCACCAACAAACTAAATATATAAGAAAAATCACATTCTACGTCAGGAAAAAATTCCATGCAAGATATAAACGGTTAAGAATTCACCAAAACATTTCTGCCACCCTTTAAAACCTTTGTGATACTCTTCTCCCAGTACAAGTTCGATTCCAAAGCAGCCACATTCATATTTTGTTGAGTTGGGATGTTCGGCACTTCATTCACCCTGTCTATTTAAGGAAATCGTGCAGCATCCATACCCTGTGTTTGCAATTTGTGGTTGCCTCAGCTCCCTGACCATTCCACCTATGATTTCCCTGATTTCTTCTGAATCCATTGAAGAAATGCTGTAAATAGACAAATGTTGTAATTTCATTTAGACATAGTACTTCATGTTATTTTACACAAAAACAACACAGGTAGTTATTAAAGTATGTTAGTATTGAGCTATAAAACTTGGTGGCAGTTGAAAAAATACACAATCTCACGTTTTGCAGTTTAAAGCACTCATACCTGCTACTCTGTACTAAAGAGTCCCTTGATGAGTCAGTATATTTTTACTCTTTTCCAACAACCTTCATGGACTCATTGAACGGTTTGCATTAATAACATGTTTTCATCTTATCCATCTTTTTAACTGTACGTATATTTTCCATAATATATTACATCCATTTATAGTGATTGATTATGTCCTTACTAATTTATAACTAATATATATTTTTATATGCAGGAACAATACAAGTATTGTACCAGAAATTGTCAATAAATTGAAAATGATGTTGAATGAGTACCATTCACATGTCAAATATTTTAGAATGGCAGCAGAAAGAATGAAAGATTGCTCTCTACCTGATTTGAAGTTGAAATTAATATCTAAAAGATCAACTTATGGAAGAATCTACAACCAACCAACTATATCAGAGGTTGCGCTTATAGTTGGTGATGTTGACACAGGTTCTAAAAGAGATATAATACTTGAAAGACAAAGTGGAACATTGAAGAGAATAAGTGAGTTTCATCCAAGTTATCTTGGATCCCAATATCCTCTTTTGTTTCCAAGAGACGAAGATGGTTATAGAAAGGGTGTGCTTCATAGGGAAACAATTGTAAGAAAAGCAACCAAGGAGAATAGGCTTACAATTAGAGATGTTATCTGATTTAACAAAGATACATGTCTTAGGGAAGGTACTTGCATGTAAGTAACATGTTTACATTCTTAAAAAGCATTGTATTCAATTTATGTCCTTAATTAAGATAATTGTTTTCCGATTAATTTTTAACTCACTTCATTTCATATATCTACACAATTGAATTCCAAAAGCGTGGTTTACATGCGCATATTTTTTATTTTTACATCCGTCAAGCAAGTATCCAACAACAAACATATAAACAAAATTATTTCTGCATAAATACAAGGCCAAATTTTTCTATGATAAAAAGTACCGACGTTGGAGACCACGTAAACAAGGCCAAATGATAGGGGGACTAATTTTGGTTCCTCCGAGTACTGGTGAATTATATTACTTAAGAATGATGTGACTGTGGTTAAAGGACCAACTTGTTATAAGGATATAAAATATGTTGGTGGGAAGCTACAAGATAGTTTTCAGGATGCCTGTTTTAAAATGGGATTTCTTGCCGACGACAAGGAATACATTGCAGCCATAAAAGAGGCATGAAAGTGGCTTTCAGATGGTATTCAAAGAAAAAAAGTCAAACAACAGAGGTAATTGTGTATCAAATGTTTTAATTTATTGAAATCAAAATTATAATGTTGAGTGTTGTATACAAATTACGTGCTGACTTATAATACATTGATGTTTATATTATTAAATGTTATTTGTAGTATACTCTGATATAAGTATGTTGTATCCTACATATGCAAATTTTTATTTGATCGTTTTTAATTGATATCTAATTTAATTTCTCTTTGATGTATAATTTGAATAGAATTGACCTTGACAGATGAGGAGATAAATTTTTTTATCCTTATTGAAATTGAAAATCTGTTGCAAGCAAATGGAAAAGCTTGAAAGACTTTAAACCTATGCCTTACCCAAATTCTTATGTCATGAGGGACGTTGGCAAAAGATTAATTTATGAAGAGCTTGATTATAATGTCGATATTAAACGACAAAATGACTTATTCCGGTCACTTATAGGTAACTAGTTGATACCATTAACAGATTTATTCCCATTTTAATGTTTTATTTAATGAATATTTTGGGATTACAAATTGCTATCTATTTATATTTCAATTATCAGATGAACAACATGCAATTTTGGATACATTCACAATAAAATGTTCTTGTTGCTTCAAGTAGGATAGCGTCGTTATATTGTCAGGTGAAACTCATGACTGAAATGAATATTGGTAACATAACTTACATTCCTCGAATGTCTATGTCACCTTCTGAATCACCATGGCCTTTCAAGTTGATTAGGAGATAAATTTCTATCATTGTTTCATACGCAATGACAATTAATAAATCCCATGGCGAATCACTTGATTGTGTAGGATTGTATTTGTCCGCTCCTTTTTTTAGTCATGGCCAATTGTATGTTGTAATCTCAAGAGTTAAGAGAAAATGTGGGTTAAAATTCTTAATACACAACAAAGAGAATGAATCATGTTTAACTACTATAAATGTCGTGTTCAAAGAAGTCTTTCAAGCACTGTATTAATTAGTAAATACTTTCTCACTTTTACCTTTTTGGGTATAATTTCTCCTTTTTCTTATTAAGTTATTTTGTTGCTATTGTATTGTCTAAATAAACTATCTTCTAACCATTTCAAGGTTATGTTGCTGATGTTTTTCTATTGCTGTATTCTGTTGTTCTTGCATGTCACAAATATGTTTTTGGTAAGGTTTAACAATTTATTTTGACTATTTATGATTTATTATAATTTTTTCAAAATTTTTCCCATGATTGATTTTGAATTTTATTTTTCGTATATTGAATTAAGTTTGATATATTTACTCATGCTATTGTAGGAATGGAACATTCTATAAGGGACTTATTATTGAAGTGCGATGTTCAATTGTATGTTGCAATATTAAAAGTAAAAAGCAAAAAAGACCTTAAGATGTTAATCCATGACAAGGAAAATCAAGATCTATATCAAAATCCCCTAGAATTGTTTGATTTTATCGTTTCGGTTCAATTACTTTATATTTGAAAAGAATTTTACAGATATCAGTTACAAAACAACTGTAATAAAATAATAACACACTATCTAAATCAAACACTAAAACATTAGGATACATTAGTCTAAAAACATTCATTAGTACATAACAATATACAGAACTGGATTTCTTAAAACTAATATAGATTGAATTTACCATAATTAATACAGACCATACAACTCCCATGGCACGTATAACCATATGTGTTATAGAACAATTATTACAACATAAATTACAAGCATTACTTGATTACATGACTTATACAACATCAAACTGAACCAGAATTTAATATATATCTGAACCAGCGACAAACGAACTCATCAATGTTTCACCAAATGCACAATCATCACATTGGAAAAGAGAGTCATGCTAAATAACAACATAACTCCTGATTCAAGCCTATTATTCTCTCTTGCATATTCATACCATTCGTGTCCAATTTTTTTCTCAAACTCATCCCTTTTAGCCCTGTGGATTACACAGTTATAACCTTTGCCAACTTTCAGGTCTACCATATTTATGGAATCTTGCTCTTTACCGAAACATTTAATTGAAACATCCTTTGAAATATACTATAAAATATGACACGACACAATAAATATCAATCTTAATCGTTAATTTTAATAAAAACTTATGTATAGTTAGTGTTATACAGGCATACTAGGTCATTTTGTCCTAACATATTAAAGTATGTTATTTTGGTCTTCAAATGTACATTACTAAAGTGAAAAAATAAACTATTAAAAAAATAATTAGAGTATTTTTTATGGTATAATTTACGATATAAGTGTACAAATCAGTGTCAAATAAACATTTCTCCGAATATGATTTATAATTTTGATTTGAAAAAAGTGTTAAACAATATCCTCTTTCAATGCAGTAAACAACTACCGAAAATGACAATTTATTACAATCACATGGTGTATGCATCTGATTTCTAAACCGTCCATAAATAAATAACATTGTTTATATGTCTCTTAGTTTTTACGTTCTTCTTATAAATAAATCAATTACTAAAATAATGCATGTAAGTTTATTTATTAATTTAATTATTTATTTTTGTTATATCTTTGTATTTTATACCTTAACATGTAACCCCTTCTACATATTAACTCATTATAATTATTATATATATCAAACACTACCATATTTCTTCATTACATTCAATATCTTCCTTCTCTTCAAAAAGGTTAGAAAGCAAAAGGCAATGTTCTTTAAATACTTATTTTTATCTCTAACAAAAAAAATCTGCAATTTGTATATCTGATTTTTTTAATCGTTTTGAACATGCAGTGTTTCGTTCTATATAATTAAAAAAGAGATGGAAATGGTAGAAACTAGAAAGTTTGAAAATAAAAGTCAATCGTGAACAATATCCAAAACGGGTTGAACCAAATACTTTGTTTTCTGAAATAAATTCTATTGAACAAAACGTAGACGATTCTATAATATATCATGTGAATGATAATCATGGCAATGCATAACTTTGCAAAACAACATACAACATTATAATGTAGAATTGTTTTGGAGAAAGAAATCACAAAAAGGTTTAAGGTCGGAAAACATGTGATGGTGATAACTCATATAAAATATTGTATTGCCTTTACATATTAATCTTCTTAATTGTTTATAAATATTTATGTGTAAACTAACTGAACATGCAATTTTTTTAGCATTTTACTGCTGAAATTGTTAGGAATAGTTTACGTGCGAAAAAAAGTGAAATTATTTTGATAAACCTTGATGAAATGACGTACTATGACTGTGAGATTCTCAAAAGAAAAAAAATCAATTATTGAAATATATCTTAGAAAGAATTGGTATGATTATGCAAGATCCAGAAACTTTTGCGTTGGTGATGTCTTAATCTTTCATTACCGATCTGATTCACATATGTTTTACGTTAAGCATAACAGAAAGCAACCAAAAATGTATCAAGGATTACGATAATTTGTCTATGCAATTTTTAGATGTTAAAATAGTTGTTTAAAGATAACTTTTTTTTTTATTATTTTGTTCGTACCTTCGAATTGGATGCCGAGGTTAATATTTAAATATATTATTGTTGTTGGATTTATCAACCCATTAAGTTGGTTATGCTGTAAAAAATATATAGTTTGAAAAAAAATTGCAGATTTGACAAGTGATATTTCGCAACGTAACGTGTAAATACAGACGTGACACGTGTGATAAAACGAATATCCTACTAGTTCAATATAATAAAATAAAATGTTATTAGGTTCATTAGAAAAAATTCTTAGACAGAAACTAAGATAACAATTAATTATATATATTAGCTGATTGGTTGAATTAATAATATAAATAGCTTGAAGGTTGACAATAGTTTATGCTTATAACATTCATGTTAGTAAAACATTTGATTTATATTGAAGAATATAATTATTAATTAATATACTAGGTTTAGGTTTGTCTTTCTCATATGCTATACATTTGATACAATTAGAGGGGTCAAAAAAGCCCTGTATAATATGACATTAACAATTAGTTCAAGAAATTTTTTAGAGATGTATCTATGAAACAAAATAATAGGATGCGGTTCCGGGATATATCTCTAGAATCAACAATACAGTTAATGAGTGGTCCAAATTGATCTATAACTTCTATAAATTTAAATACTCTAATGCTATATTTCACACAAATTCAAAATGTTTCAAATGTTACAAACAAAGATCTATTGGTATGTCACAAATGTGTCTTTCTCCGACTTTACACCCAGCCGAACATTCAAGCTCACCTACTTCACCTTCCTCAAAGATATCAAAGACGAAATCTACCATCTCCTACCTTACAGAGACAATCGAAAGATTGTGAAGCTCGAATACCGTTCACCTTCGATTGACAACAGAGGAAAGATTCAGTTCAACAAATTTGAGCTTAAGATGCAAGCAAATGTTACGGCTATGTGGGATACGTTTTTTTGGTTTTAAAGAGAAAGTTTCGCTCGAGATGGAAGCGACACTACAAAGATCGCTCGAAGATATTCTGAAGATGTGCAAGCGTCCACCAGGATATTGAAATGTAATATTGAATTTTCTATTGAAATCATCATTGTAATGATCATTTTATGTTATGAATGTCAATTTCATTTTGAATCTGTTGAATTTATTTCTGATGTGAATCCGGAGATGTAACTATGGAAAAAATTCGGAGATGCATCTTCGGAATAAATTAAACCAAAAGAAAGGGCGTAACTCATAATGACCTTTGTTTAATGAGTGTTGGGGTGCGTCCGGAGATGTATCTACGAAATTAGAGTGTCACTCATAATGACCTATGTGAAAATTCACATGGTGCATTAGAAACAAATAGGGTGCAATAAAAAATTCTCCATTTTTAAACCCCCTCATATTTTTGTTTTTTTATGGGACCTAAGTACCGGACTCAAAATCTAATTTATTTTTTAAAAAAATTGAAAATTAATTTTAAAAATAATTTTGTTGAAAAATAAAAAAAAATGTGTATTAAAAAAACAAAATTTCTATTAGATAATAAAGCTGGTTTTTTTTTCTAAAAAAAAGTCGACCTTTTTCAAAAATTAAAAAAAATTGGTTTTTTCGAAATTCTTTCTAAAAATAAAAAAATTGTTTTTTTTTTAATAACAAAAAAGTCAATTTAAAAAAAAAATCTATTTTTCGAAATAAAAAAAGTCTATTTTTTTCAAAAATTAAAAGTTCAATTTTTTTTCCGAAAAAAAAGCATATTTTTTCTGAAAAGAAAAATAATGTCAATTTTTTTTAAAATTAAAAAAGTCTTTTTTTTAAAATTAAAAATACTTTTTCCGAAAATGGTAAAAGTCGATTTTCTTTCAAAAATAAAAATTCAATTTTTTTCAAAAATAAAAAAGTAAAAATTTTTGAAAAAAAATATTTTTTAAACATATATAAAAAAGTCAATATTTTTAAAAATAAAATATCGTTTTTTTTAAATCATCGTTTTAAATATATTGGAGTTCTTGAGGCCTACTTGAGTTTTAGGGGTCTTTAGTTTAAGAGATTTACTTATTTTGGAATCATTTATCTTTAAAATTTTAGACCCTTATACTTTTTTTTCTTAGAAGTTAGGTCTCGACCTCCTAAATTGGTAGCTCTAAACACAACGTTTGTATAAAATTTATCAATAGCATTAAAAAAAACTTAATTAATTAATTTAATTGAACAAATAATTAATTTAATTTAAATTATAAAAGATTAGTTTAATTTAACAATTTTTTGAACAAATAATTTAATTGAATAATGACTATGCCATCCTCGCTCTATATGGTGACTCTTTGGTGGAGAGACAAAGGAACATCCCAAATCCCATGGATCCACTCTCTTCCCAACAATAAATTTTAGTTAGCCTTAGATGAAATGACCATAAATAAAGTTGGTCTCACTCTGGTCCCGACTTCCAAATCCACTTGAATTGCTCCTAAAGAATGGCCAATATTTCATTCATAAGTGGATAGGACCATATTGTGAGGCCTTAAATCAGTTT